GGAAACCGCGGAAAACGCGCGAAAGTCGCGAGACGAGAATGGTTACGCAGCAATTGCGGTAGCCGGTTGAAAAAGAAAGAAAACACTTGCACTTTCGTTAGAAAGTCTCGCGAATCCGCTCCGCCATCCGTGGCAATCACGTCGGCCACCTGCGCAGTGAACGTTGCGTTAAATTATAGCATCGAAGCTTGTCCGACCAAACACTGAGCATCATCACTTTACCCTTAGCCCTTCATCTTGCATTGTGAACTAATTCAGCTCTGCGCGCGAGAATGCACGCGATAAACCTTTGTAGACAGTATTAATATAAATTACGATTTAAAAGATAATACAATTAAATTAAATAGTGATTTTTATTAAAATATATTATTTAATATGAGCGTTGAAAATGATTTTGCGAATATTCGTGAATGGACGATGATATAGGAAATAAAGTTCAACAGATCGACATTGGTTTATTTGATTTCTTACAACAAAGATATTTCGTCTTGGTGATGATGTGGCAATATATAGATAAGAGTTCTGTTTGCGGCCGGATCAAGCATATAGACGACGATGAGTGACAATTCGTAGGATAAAGCGGAAATAATTTTCTAAATTGTATTTGTTACGTAAAAATTATCAAGCGAGTCCAAGTGTTGAGATTGAGGCTCTTAAAGTATATAAAATTTTTTTCTCTGTAAAAATTGTTGTAACCTGCGTTACGAAAGTAATGCGTGTACGTAATAATACATATACTTTAATTCAACTACTTAATTGAAGCAGAGTCACTTATTATTAATAAGTTTTTATTATTAATAAGTTAATAATATGAATTTTGGAATCTCTAAATAATTTGTGTACACACACACACGCACACACACACACACACACACACACACACACACACACACACACACACACACACAAATAGACAAGTGATAAACGCAGATTATTTAATTTTGCTTTTAATTTTCTGCGTTATTTGAAAAAATAAATAACTAAAAAAAAAATAAAAATAAAAATAAATAATTATTTTCTTACACAAATATCACGTTACAATTATTTTTTCATTTCGAAAGAATTCAAATTTACACTCTTCTCTTTTAAACATCTCTTTTAAACGAAAGCTGTTCTTTTTTGAATGATAATGCGCATTAGACATCGAGTTTAGTAAAAACTAGCGAATCGCGTCATAACGTCATGCACGTCGGCGTGATTACAAACGATCATTAATTACTCTTTAATCTAACGTTCACAGACGCATCGTATTATTAGCGATATGTGATAACGAGTTGATAGCGTTGCGCTGCGTAGCCACGAGAATTTCCCAATTATGAAACAATCGCATTGAGTTTCTTACTGCTGCGTTTTTCGTAAGAAAATTGGAAATGCAACTTGAAAATAACGAAGAGGAAATTAAATATTTTAATGTGAATTCGTAAAATTTGTCGACGAAATCCAAATATACGTATTAATCACACTTTCTCTTTTTCTTTGAAAGGCGAACATATATTATTTAATTCGTTTGTTATTTAATTTATCGCAAAGACTGCATGTGTAAAGTGTGCGAGACTTTTTTTGAATGCCTTTCGCTACTACAGTAAATTCTAGCATATTATAATAACAAACAAAATAAATGCAAAAATAAAACCTAAATTAACTTATTATTGTCAAATAAATGCACTTTATATTTGCCAGATTCTCTTTTCTTATCTTTTCAAGATAAATTATTAAATTAAATTATTAAATTAATACTAAATTATATACAACTTGAGTTGATTATTTTAATATTTGTAATCATTTCTAGATCGTCACTCGTGTAGTTTTTACACAATATATATCGTTGATTTAACTTAAACTTTAATTTAACTCAAGGAATGTATTAAATTTTATTCAAATTTAGTTTATTATTTACTAACTAAATGCATATAAATTAACATGGATGTTATTTGCTTTGAAATTGAGCAATTCAATCATAGAAATGGATTTTTGAATTTTAATATACGTATGGAAGTTGAAAATAACAAAATTATTATTTAACTCAAGATTGGATTTTAAGATTACTTCTTTGATATATCTAACTATAAGGTACCTCTCGCATATCGGTATTTCTCTTGATCTGAGAACGGCTCATGTCTCAGAATCTGATTTACGGTACTTTCGAATCGAAACGAATGGTCCGTGCACAAACGTGAATCGTGATCGAATCGAAAGTTGTCGTCATAAAGAAAAGACGACGATTTAGATGGCGAAAACATATGTCAGGCACGTCCTCTTGTGTTACGCTTGTCACCGAGTGCATTCTCGTATAGGCGAAGGCGCACGAAGCTATTATACACCTATTATACCTACATTATACCTATATACATATGCTTGTGCGCTACTCATGCAAGCGCGTGCATGCGTTATATGTATACATGTGTTATTACATACACACGTATTTTTATTATCTAGCTGTCACCGGAATATAGAACATATTTTATATTGTATATATATATATATATATATATATATATATATA